ATTCCGCCCCCAAAAGCGATCCGCCCACTAGTTTAGTTGGTGATTTGGACGAGCTGCGTTGCCAGCAGCGGCACAACTGGAGCAACTCGATTGGAGCGTGGTTTGGCATGGTGCCACCAAACGCGTTGCGGTGAACTCGTTCATACGTCCGCTTTCTGAGCTGTTACCTGTTCATGAGTGAAAACCAACGGCCAAAAAAGGGGGTCCCGTTTTGCGTTTTTGACGGATTTTTCAGCTTTTTCGCCACTGCCCATTGAGCACCACCACGTCTCCTTAAAACCCTTCTCGAATCTATCGTAATCGCTGCCTTTAAGGAAATGAACTCATGGTCCTTATGGGAATGGCAAAATACTGTGGCAGGGAACAGCATTCTAGAATGAATAAATAAAAATATAACGCCCTGCGCTTCACTTTATACACCGAATCATGTTCTAATTGGGTCTTCAAGAGGAGCGAGGATATTGGGAAGGACAAGCATGAGTTCACATGTGAACAACATGATGACACGCAGGAGGTGGCTGATGTTGAGCTCCATCTTTTTGTGTCCGCATGCGTGCCTGATGTCAATTGTGGGACCACACGAGGACGGAAGAGTTGGTTGGCCTCAGTGGATGTTTCCACTTGGGTGGAGCGTGCGAAGCATAACACCTCTAGTTGACGCGAAGTATCCGCGCAAAAACAATGGCAACGCAGAAGAGGCATGGTGGCAAAGCAATCTCATTGTTGGTGTGTATGTTGATTTTCGTCACGCGAATGTGTCTTCAGTAGCGTACACGATCACGCTGGATGAGCCACAAGGGAAGGGTCGGGCTCAGCCTTACTGAGGAAGTCCCTCCATTTGGTAGAGGAGCTGGGTCGTAGTGGTCGCGGTACTATCGTGCCTTTAAACCCGTCACTAAAACACTAGCTTATATCTTCCACGCTTAGGAGGATCCGTGCCCGCCCGCCCTTCGATATACTATCTGTGTCGTACGGTTCACCTGTCCCCTGCGGACATCTTTTC